GATTATCTAAGGACTAGAAGCTAGCACTCTGTTTTGTTACTCCATCGTAGCCGTTTGTGGTGATCCACCTAATGAGTAACGAAATGTTAGTCTTTAAAACATGCTTGGCATTACTACAGATGTGAAAACACATCAATAGTAATGCTAAACAGCAGCTATAATTATAAAGTGGGGGAAATAAGTATTTGACCCCTTGCTGATTTTGCAGGTTTGCCCACTTACAAAGAATGCTTATTTTTCCTCATCAGATGGTTATCAATATTTATAAATTCACATGATGTGATTTTCTGGAATTTTCTTTGGGATTCTGTCTTTCACTGTTAGAATGTACATATGATTAAAGTTATAGATCGTTGCATTCTTTGTAAGTGGGCAAACCTGCAAAATCAGCAAGGGGTCAAATACTTATTTCCCCCACTGTATATAATGTTTGCTTTAAAGAAAATAATCAATAATCACTCAACTGTGTCGTATGTTTGTTCAGAACCATGAGCCTACCTCTATATGATAGAAACTATATACTGGTTTATATGCCTTAAATGAGGATTTTTACTATCTTTGTATACCAAAGTGGATGGATTTGTTCAAACATTATTCAGAACTCAGAAGCATAGGTGTCTTGTAGTTGTAGTCTAGGCCACAAAAGTGACTGTCAACGGACAGAAATGCTACATTAAGCGACTGCAATTGGAGAATGGATGTTAATAATCTAGACAGAACAAGCCCGGTTGGATTATGTTTCATTTGGCGACTGGTGACGCAAGGAGCCAAAGCCTCCCCACTCCCCCTACTAGTAATTACGCAGAGGGCATTAAGATGAAAGAAAGACTTCCTCCAGGCTGACCTCAGAATCACGTCGCACACGTTGACAGAGGCACGTTTTCAGTAAATGCAAACACATTTCCCCTGTAGCTGTTCTGTCACAGTATAAATACCAGACATGTTTTCCCACCAGTAAGACTGAGATTTATTAGCACTGATCTGATGCTTTTTTCTAAACCACTGTCAAATGGAAAATCCCTTTGGAATGAGCTGTGATCTACGTTGATCGAATGGAAGTTTGTATGTGGTTTGTATTTAGTTCAGTCTTTCCACTCATAAGCATAAGGTCATGATCTGAATGTGAACCTGAACACACCACTTTAGACGTCCCATTTCTGCCTATGCAAATGCTAGAAAGACAGGATGATATGTTCCTGTACTTTAGCAGCTGTTTTTCACTCGGCTCACTTGTGGGGGAGGCGTTTGGGGACTAAATGTTAATCTTCTCTATCATAAGATGAGGGATATTTCCAGAATATGAGCCACATTTAGTATCACATTTTCTTGCTCTGGACTGCTATTTTCATCTCAAATTTGCTCTGTCATTTAACCGATTAGATCCCCAACATCAGGGTAACAAGTTAAAACTTAAGTTATAATTATTGAAGAACTGCCATAGTGCAGAATACATTATGTCACTGCTTTTAAAATGCAACTTAAGAAGTTTTTAGGAGCAACTTATCTATAAATGAAATAGTTTCATATTCTAATTTATTGTAACTTATTCATAAAATGTTCAAATTTTAAATTGTAACTTTCCCTTTTTCTATGAATGTTCAGTCTCATTGATATGTCTATGATATTTGTCATCTGTCAAACATGAATTTACATTGTATACTGTATTTTTAATGATATGGACCCCAGTAAGAGTGGCTGGGTGTAAAGCACAGCTAATGGGGATCCTAATAATAAATAAACAAAATAAACAAATTAACATTCAGTTCCACCAAAGGGTGAAACTTCTGAAACATAGTGTTAACTACTAAATGTAAAGGGTAAAATACGAAAATACCTCAATGAGACAGTGATAAATGTGCACACTTATTTGATCATTATTATTTGATTTAGGGTCAGCTTTGAAAATAAAACATTTGCTTCACATTTTGGAAACTGTGTGTGTTACAAAAAATATGCATGACAGTGAATGAAGATGTTAATCTGCCTTTTTAGTCATATTCATCATTTGTCAAATGCGACAAATGTTTGTATTAAAGCACAAGCCAATACCAAAAGCCACTGTGAGTTGAGTCAACAAAGAAAAACGTAACTTAATTCGTACAGCAAATTTTCATTGTCCCTTTCCATTTTAGTTTGAATTCTGCTTTGCCATGGCACGCCTCTTGTTAAGCCTACATGGACAAGATCTGAGTCAAGTTAGTTCCATTTTAGTGTATGTGACTGTTCTAAAGCTTATGTTCCTTCACTAAAGATGAAAAGATTTTTGGTTAGACCAAAATATGATCTTGCTCCCTATTGAATCCTGTTTGTGGGTGAATAAAACCACATCCTCTCTGAGAGGATATCATTCAGAGATCTTACTTTTTTAATTTTTTAAATTTTTAATAAAAAAAAAATACAAAAACAAACAGGGATTCGCTGCATTCTGTGGAGAGAAGCAACCCCAACAGTAACATTGTAAGAATATCCCCATTTACCGAAAGCTCAGGAGACTTGAAGGATTTGAAATTCATTGCCAGATCCTATGCATAATTAAGCAAAACCCCCTCCTCCCGCCCTCCATCCATTAACATCCCCCTGCCTTGCCCGAGGAATTTCCATGCAGTTTGTTTCTCTCAAGCTGGAGGTGCCTGTTACAGTAATCCACCCTTTTTAGTTAAAAATCGGGGTCTGTTTCATTTTCAAGCAGAACATGAAGACCTTTGCCTAGCAACGTTGGTTTCTAACACAAAAGCAGGCCGGAGATTTTAATGTCTGGTATTTTTTATAACTGAAACCCTTCTGTCTCTTGTTTATGTCGCCTGTAGTGAGCCTGCAGAAGATGGCTTTGTTGGAAAGTGAGCATGATGAATGACCCCAGATTATCTTAATGCTTTCTTCATGTTTACTTTATTTGGTTGTAATGTGTGCGCATTACTTAAGAAGCAGCCAAGAGTAATGTCTATCAAGAAATGTCAGTTAGCATTAGAATAGGCGAGTGAGGTTTCAATGGCACTTTTGAATATTTTTTCTTACCTGTTACTGTATTACTGTACTGCTTTCAAATCCTAAATACATATTCATCATGTCAACCTATCTCATTATTCATTATTCACCTATAGTCCATCTACAAAATGTGTAAATAAATGTCATCTAAATATCATTAAATGACATCTAAATCATATTTAGATGACAATTAGAGCTCTGCTTTTGTGGATTGGCTGTGGCTTTTACTTGCCTGAAGACTGGAGATGAGAGGGTTGGTGTCTGCTCTGTCTCAAGCAGCTTGTTAATCATGCAACCGGTCTATCTGGGGAGAACACAAAACACACAAAGAGCATCCCGAGCCACCCGTCATCTTTGTGTCTGTTTGGGGTTGTGCTTATGCGCGCACGACCTCCTTTTTGCAGACACACCTCAGGGGCAGAGGATCGATTGACTGTCCGGCCCCCTCGACATTTTAATTATCTTCCTCCACAAATGTTTTACGCTAGCCCAAAAAAATCCAGCCCAATCTAACGCCCTGCTTTGACCCCCCCCCCCTTCATGTTCTCTTACTGCTGTTTATTTTACTAAGCAAACAGAAAGAGTACAAGCAATGAGGAAGCTCCAAAAATGACAGACAGAAACCAGTGACGGCTTCATTCATTTTTTTAATTTGTCCTGTAAGTCAAATATATATATCGGTTCTTTTAACCAGATATTTTAACAGTATATCACACTGTATTGTTCTGTCACTGAATAGTATGATGCCTGCCATGTGCCCAAGACTTGTATATCCAACAGATGTGCATGCATCAGATGTTGGCAAAACTGATTTGCTCAATTTATTTTATCTTTTATTTCTGTTTTATCTGCTTATGAGAATGACTCCTCCTCTCTTGTAAATTAGCATCTCCCTGCAAACTTGCTGTGGCTGTATCTATGGTAGCGGAAGCTTGACCCGCTAAATTATTCTAGGCTTAGAGCAACATTTAATTGCATTGAGCGGTGATTAGAGCTGGATCATGAGTTTAAGTTAAGCAGGGGATATGTATACTCGGGTAGACGGAGAAAAAAAATGCAGCAATCTGAATTTTTTCCAGACAATAGATCTTTTCTCATAATCTAGCTACATCGTGTCTGTACCATGCAAAACTTGTAAGGTATCAACTGTAATTTATAATTTAATAAATAATTTATTCTGTGTATTAAAGACAAAACTTGTCTGTGTTTGAACAATAAAATTTCAAGAAAAAGAAATTATTTAAGTGGAATTATTAAAGCATACGTGTGCATGCACTTGTTTGGGAGAAAATATAGTTTACAACGTATGGAAAGAGCAGATGTAGCAATAGAAACAGGAAGTTTCTTTCAGGAAACCAGCTTTGACAAACTTATCAGCAACAGAGGACACACTGATAATGAATATCTGCTAGTTAATGAACCTGTGCTGGTATTAAACATCTAAAGAAACACTCCACATTTCTTTTAAACACCCTGTGTTTAAAAGAAATTGGACCAAACTTAACTTTTTTTTTTTTTTTTTACAAATAATGCGCCTTTGTTTCATTGATATTCATTTACACCAGTCTTACATTTTATTGTTTGAGTTGAGAAAATAAAGCAATATTAAAAGTGTATGGTCAATTTCAGTGCCACCAAATCATATTAAGCAGTAAAGCTTCATTTACATTTAAGGCAGGACGATACTGCCTGTACTGATTTTAAATTTACTGATCAGTTAAGATACCCAACACTGCTACAAATGCAAAGAGCAAAGCCCCTTTTAAGTTCTCCTCTAATGGCACAATGTGAATGTTCTAAACAATCTTGATCCAAACATCTTGATATCTTTCTGGACATCTGAAGATTTTCTGTCTTTTTTTCTGTATTCCTGATTATGGAACTCAAGAAAATCCCATAAGGAAGCAAGTCTATTTTTATGTTCATGTTGTTTTGTAATTTCTCTTATAGATTGGCTTTTGTTTAGGTTGTTCTATATCTGTTTTCTGCAACTGATTTCTCAACAGGCCTTGGCTATGGGGGGATCCAAGAGCAAGCCCAAGGATGTGGGCCAGCGGACCCGGAGTCTGGACGGTAATCTGAGTTCTGCGGGAGGAGCCAGCAGTCACCACATCGGTTCTGCTCAGCAGTTCCAAACGCCCAACCGTAGCCCCACCGTGGAGGCGGGATTCAGTAGCAATCAGTCACTGGCCAATAATGCGGAACTGGCGCTGTTTGGCGGCGTGGACAACAACACTGTGACCTCATCTAGCAGAACAACTCTCACAGGTGGAAACTTCCATTCAAAGGATTTTAATTTTTTTTATCACATGATTATTTTTGTTAATATGGCTCTGTTCATAGACCTTTTTGTACTCATAATAATTCCTAACATTTCATAATAGTCCTAACTTTCTTTTCTTACAGGTGGTGTGACAACATTTGTGGCATTGTATGACTATGAGTCTCGAACAGCCTCAGATCTGTCCTTCAGGAAAGGCGAGCGCCTGCAGATTCTCAACAATACGTAAGGAAAATACAGAGCATATTCGCACTTGGTTATCTTCTATCAACTATAATTTCCTCTATCACTCAAATAAAGTCAAGAATAGTTCATTGTGCTGCAACAATATACAATATACAACATAACGCCAAAGCTCAGCTGTCGTGTTTGCCGTTATTCCCTGCATAATTGAACCAAAGTAGCAGTCTTATACTCTTTGAAGAACTAGATTTACATTCAAGTCACATATTTCTGCATTAAATTTACCCTGATCACCCAGTTACTAAATCCACCGCAATAAGAATGAAGCCTGTTTCAACTGTAATTCCCAGAAATAAGGCAAAATGTGAGACCTACTTAATCGCTGAGTGTAATCTTGACCTGTTTAAGGAGAAAGATCATTCTTGTTTAAAAAATATGGACTTGATCTATGAATCGATAGAAGTGCAGTGAACCATGTATTTTAGACAATGTGGCTCGCCTGAAAACAAATGGCTGACCCAGAAGACAGAATCTCAGAACAATGTTGGATTATAGCTGCATCTGGCCCATTAAGCCAAAAGCCTGGTTCAATGTTGGTATAACTTCACCCAGAATCCACAAACTAACACCGTTAGTAAGCAGGTTCTGCCAGTTAGATTAGGTCTCAGGCAGGTCTGTTTTACTTGCTGCATTTGAAAAAAGTATAATTAATGCACATCAATCTCACAGGATTTTGCCATTCTAATTTTGTATTTTCTGCCAGATTCTTTGTCAGACCTCATAATTGTGCATCCCCTCTTTGTCAAGTAAAATGATTTCAGATGCACTGCAGCCTGAGTGTTGTTCTTTGCTGTTTTATCACTGCTTTTAACGTTGCTCTTTGCATTTCTTGCACCGTCTTCTTTTTCACCGTGTCCCTTTCATATCTCTTTCCCATTTCTGCATCACAAACTCATCATGTTTTTACAGGAGGAAGGTGAACTGCAGGTTTGTGAATCATCTTTGAAATTTTATTTAGATTTAAAGTTTGTCTGTGTGTTTACATTTCCTAGTTTACATAGAATACACCTTTTACAATATTAATGTCTCATTGCATCCCACCCAGCACACCATCTTGAATCCTTGTTAGAGCTATAACAGGTCCTAAGCGTTACAGCACTATAAGCATCTCATGCCGGCTCAAAGCAATGAATAAGAACCTTTTTTGTACTTGGTTGCTGCAATTTTGTCTAATAAATAGTGCTGGAAAGCTGAAGCCAACCACTCATTGACGAAAGTATAGAATACATGCAAACAATCATCTCCATTTTGTTTTGCATGCATGTAAATCCAAGACCCTAAAATATCCTTTTTTTATTTATAATAGAGTAATCTATTTATCAAGCTTCTCAATGGCCTATGCACTAATTCTTAAATGAAGCTAATTTTCATTTGTTACCAAAAATAAAATAATGCATAAAATAAGGCTGTTTCCTTAGAGTTATGCTTTGAGACACTTGATAAACAGCCTAAAATTCCTGCTTGAGTCTCATGTGTGATAAGCTTAGTAAAGCTGCGTGTTATTGTTTAATCTGTGCAGAGAGGGCGACTGGTGGAGGGCGCGCTCCCTGGACACTGGAGAGGATGGTTACATCCCCAGCAACTACGTGGCTCCATCAGACTCCATCCAGGCAGAAGAGTAATACCCCATTTTTTCCCCCTTTCTTGACTTTCTTTTATCTGTTTCTCACAGTGACTCACTTTCAAACTCTAGATTCTGAAGAATTATTACAGAATTATTATTCACATTATAATTATTAGTCATATTATTATTAGTTAGTTGAGCATGGTAGTTAATGAAGGCTGTAAAAAGTGTTTACTGAGTTAGAATGGTTCTTTTGGAAAGTAATAAAATCCACCTCCCTAAAATGTATGTGTTTTTGTAAGTGTGCTGATCCTTTTGAGCAGCATTATGGATAAATATACTGTAGATATTTTTATTTTTGGCCAAGTCATTTTGGAAGTTCCCTTGGTTTAACACTAAGCGCTTAGGAAAAGGGATTGCGTCTGTGTCACTGAAGTGACTCATTAGTGGATCATTTTGTGGTAATGACCATAGCACAAACTTTTTGCTTTTGAGATTAATGTTTTATATAATATTTATAGTAAAACATGTCCAGAGTTATGACATCATAATTCATTTTCAATCTCACTGAAATATAATTTACACACTGGAGGAACAGTCTTGTTAAGTTTAGTGTTGCTAAAATGACGTCCATTTGGTGACAAGCAGTTACATTTTTAAAATGTCCTTTTACTAGCATTCCATGAACAAAAAAAGGCATCATGGTAAGCCCAAAATCCAGCATGATGCAGCTAAAGATTGGCACAAACCTGCAGCTAAGATGCACATGTACCATAATTATGCCCATCTGCAATTTTTAACAATCTATATTGAGAGCAGAAAAAAAGGACTGGTTCTCAAATAGCACACACACCATGCAGTTTGTATTAATTCAGTAGATCACACTTCATCCCCAACATGGAAAGATATGATCTCTTCTGCCTCCAGCTCACAAGATTATGATGATGGCAAAATGTTATCCCTTATGTTTAATAGCCTCTTTTCATAAACATTTGGTGGCCTAATGGTGGATATGTCATCTTTTAGTTTGTGAGAAGAGTTTTTTATTTTAGGACTTTATAAATAAAAAACATACAGACACTATTTCAGAACTTGAAATGTGGATTTTGTTACCTTTCAACTGGGATATGAAACCATTTACTTCTCAATCCAGCTGTTATGCTAAACTAAGCGAGTGTATGAAAAGGGTAAAAGATCTATTCCTTTAATTGCAGTGTAGCATTTACTTGTCTTTTAAGCTGTTTTTCTACATGCTAGCCTGCTTGCTTACAAATAAAACTAACAAACTAACCTTTTGTAACAACCTTATTTCTCACTTTTGCCTCCTGCTCCACCAGTGATCTCACACTGACTCTAGAGTCAAGGTAAGTAGCTGTTGTCCTGGAGGCGTTAGCATGCACTGCATCTGGAAAACACTAAAATTGAGGTTTTCAAAGTGGGAGACAGGCCTCTCCAGGGATCATCCAACCAGTATTAAGGGATGTTCAGTGAATAGCAGGGAACTTCATAAATGAATCATAAGCTGTCTGTGTTTTCTGGAAACTCAAATTGAAACATCGCCCTGTAATGGCTCATTGAAAGTCCATTGAATCAAACAATGTAATTGGGATATCCTAGTTTAAAACAATAATACAGTATATAGCAGATTTATTTTTACAATATTTGTCTGAGGGGACACCCACCGTCCGTGAAACTTTGAAAGCCCATTCACTTAATGTTTTGTGCCTGTAAGAACAGCTTTCCATTCTCTCTTTTTAACCCACTACCAGATTTACCTCCTCATCAATCTGATCTTCCATGTCTACATTTTCTCTCCTAATCACACAAGGTGGTACTTTGGCAAAATCACACGGCGTGATTCCGAGAGACTGCTGCTAAGTTTAGAAAACAGAAGAGGGACTTTCCTCGTGAGAGAGAGTGAAACCACTAAAGGTAAGTTCGTTAACCTTTGTTTAATATTGTTATCGGTTAACATGTTTTATCAGACCTTGATTTCTCTGTAACTACACTAAGATTTGGCTGCATTCATTCAAGAGGATCTGTTATTTTTCGATCTGGGCTACTTTTTCCAATATTTAACCATTTAAAATCAATCGATGGTATAACACCATTTCAAATCCTTACAAAATAGAGTATGTTAAGATGCACAGCAATATCCTGACGATACTCTGTTGTGTCAACAGGCTTTTGTATCCATATTACATAGAAAATATCTTCTTGCTTTAAGCAATATTAACATTAAAAGATATGGAGTATTAAAAAAATACATATGCCTTATTAGTGCAACTACGTCTTACCAGAGTTTTACCATCAGTGGCCTATGCCATGTGTCATGGATTGTGTTTTATAAGATATGGGAAGGATGAGTAACTGAGACGTTTGGGTGCTATAACCAGCTGTCACCAAACTGCTGCAATGTAATTAAAGAGACCAAAAGTCAGAAAGATAAAGTTGATCTCTTTAGGTCTTAACAATATAGCAATGACATCCCTGTTTGTAGTGAGCTACACAACTTGAAGAATGATTTGATAAAGGATTGTGTATCAAGAGGATGGTAAAATGTTGGTAAAACTAAATTCAACACCAAAAACTTCCATTATCGTTATGGCCAGGACATTTTTCTGCCAGCAATTAAAATCATACAGTCTTATTAATAACTATTTTAGGGATTTTAAAGGGCTTGGGGTCTCTAAAAGAAACTGTGAATATTAGAAGTATTACTTTAGAGCAAAACATGAGAAAGCTGGAAAGGGGGGAAACACCCCGGACCAGACAGTAACACATCTGGCATCACTGGGGTACAAACATGAAGAAGAAGATAGAAGTTTGTTCAATGGCAAGCATGTAAATCCAACAGGGGTATTTTCCTAAATTTTGCATATTTTTTGTGGGTAGTTCAGCCGTCGGGACAAATTCAGTCATTTCAGGCAGTAAATCATTACTATGTGGTACTGATTAACAAAGCAACCAATGCTAAAATTTGTCTGCAAACATCGTTTACATTTATTATTTCCATTTGGTTTATCTTCAAGCTGTCGGGCGGTGAAATCATATCACATTTATTTATTCATCAAGTGCTTTTATGTTACTTAAATGCATATGATTTACAGACCTCAGCATGGAGTTCAGTGTGAATTCTTAGCCAAGAGTTGAGAAGAATACAGCCAACTTGGAGCAGTAAGACATATCACCCAGCTGTTCTCTATGCCTGTGCTCGTGCAACAGCATTATCTTAGCACAGATTAAAACAAATCTGGCAGATGGGGAAAGGTTGAATGTGATGCCTGTGGGACTGGGTCTTGGGATGGCTCTGACAGGCAGCATGCTCTTCTGCTACTGCTGTGTGGATGTTTGTTTTGTCTAAAAGCTGCAGTTGAGAAAAGAGTCAAGATAGTGAGAGAGAGATTTAGAGTACAAGAAGAAGAATGAGTGGGTTCTGTGAGGGAGCACAGTGTGGGTGAGCAAAATTGTAGAATTAGGTCAGAATGAAAGGCTGAGTACGGTACTCTACAACTACAGGCCACATTTATCAGCTAAAACATAAAGAGGAGGAAGCCGGACCTGAGGCTTATGGCGGTTTCCCGTGTTGTGATACTCCCTCTGGTGGTGAAATGAGCACAATGAAACAAAATTTCTACTTCCTCCCAGGCGCCTACTGTCTGTCTGTATTGGACTACGATAACACCAAAGGGCTGAACGTTAAACATTACAAGATCAGGAAGCTGGACAGCGGAGGCTTCTACATTACCTCACGCACACAGTTCGGGACCCTGCAGCAGCTGGTCAATCATTATCGCAGTAAGGTCACACACACTCCCACTAGAGAGTAACTACACGGATACACAAATGGGCTCTCAGACATGTTTTTATGCATTCAGTGAGACCTTTTATTCTGTCGCTGTTCCCTCCTCTCAGAGCACGCTGATGGACTGTGTCACAGTCTGGCAGATATTTGTCCTCTACTGAAGCCACAGACTCAGGGCTTGTCCAAGGATGCCTGGGAGATCCCAAGAGAGTCCCTCCGTCTCGACCTCAAGCTCGGACAGGGCTGCTTTGGAGAGGTCTGGATGGGTATGTTGTGCTTTGTTCCCTTTCTCGGAACTATTTCCAGCTCTTTTGTCTTCAAACTTACAGAGAAATGGAAACTGAACTTATTTTTTGTACATGTGTACCTTTTACAAAATAAAAATTGAAACATACACCCAGTATAAAAGTCAAACTTTTCAGTGCCATCAACACCAACAGTGCTTAAAATTACAGTTAAGTCAAATTATTATGGTTAATTTTTAGTTGTTGAGGCTTGCTCATCCAAATCAGATCATTCTCTCCACTTACTCACAAACACATGGACAAACTTCTTGTTCTATCTGGCTGTGCTGATTCACTGGTGATAAATGCATTCCCCTAGCCCTTTATCCTAACTTTGACCATTGCAGCTGAATGCTTTAACCAAAGTTTTAATACTCTCCACAGACAGCTGCTACGTCTCAACAGTAAAGCCACTTTACTGTGCAGCAAACATCTTTGTAGTTGACTACAAATTCTTGTATGAATATTATAGATGAGTGATGTGAAGCCACAAACTTCACATTTTACACACTGCACCTACTCTCCACATTTATTAAAAACTACAGCTGTAGTTAGTATCGCTAACTAAAACACACTGAGAATGCAACATGTTCTCCAATTACAAGCCATCAACAATGCAGTAGTGGTCAGTATGAAAAAATTACCTTTTAGTTTCATATGTTTACTTCAATTGTTTTTGTTTGTTATAAGACCAAATGTGTATCTAACTAAATTTGTAAAAAAAAAACTATTCTATGTTCATAAAATGTTGTATGTTCATAAAAGAGCAACAAACATTTTTTCAAACACTAAGCTGTTTCAGTACCCATAAATTCAAGGCTACTGTGCTTTAAAAGAGTGCAATGCTGTTAAGGTTGCCTTATGATCATTCAATTGCTGTGAGATAGTGATTTTCCATTCATATTTTAATCTAGTAGTTATCATTTGATGTCTTCAAAAATGGTGCATGAGTAAATGTAACATCATAGATCAAATACTTAAAATACACTATGTTTGTCATTAGCCTGGCTAATCACCCTTAATATCTATTTACATTTATCAATATCTCATCTTACCCGTTGGTCACATCGACACATACAAATGTTGTGGTAGTAGTTTTCAACGGTAAATCCCACTGGTGTTTGGATAATTCTATGTACAATCTTTCTCCACTTGCGCTTGCAACTAAAACTATGTATGATCAGCGTTGACCACTGACTGGATTCTCTGACTCATTGCCTGATATGTAGTCAAAACTGATGTGATACTGATATTGTCTCATGCTTTTAACTTCCGTCAGGAACATGGAATGGTACTACACGAGTTGCGGTCAAGACCCTTAAGCCTGGCACCATGTCTCCAGAGGCCTTCCTACAAGAAGCTCAGGTCATGAAAAAACTGAGACATGAAAAGCTGGTCCAGCTCTACGCTGTGGTGTCTGAAGAACCCATCTACATTGTCACAGAGTACATGGGCCAAGGTGAGGATGAAACTTTCATGTTATTATATATAAAATCCCCCTCTCTTAATACTAATAAAATCATTTAAATTCCATTGTTTTGTATTGGAGCGCTGAAAAAATTATTGCCTTTAAAATCAGAATTTAAAGAGTTTATAAGTCTTATACTAATCTAAAACATTTTTTTCTCTGCTAACAGGCAGTCTCTTGGATTTCCTGAAAGGGGACATGGGGAAGATGCTCCGCCTCCCTCAACTGGTGGATATGGCCTCACAGGTCCGCAAAAAGAAATTCCAATTTCTAGATTTGGCTTTGCTCCTTTTTTTTTTTTTTTAAATCAAATGATCACAGAGTGATCCTTTTCTTCAGATTGCTTCAGGGATGGCCTATGTGGAGAGGATGAACTACGTGCACAGAGACCTCCGCGCTGCTAACATCCTAGTGGGGGACAACCTGGTTTGCAAAGTGGCCGATTTTGGTCTGGCTCGCCTAATTGAAGATAATGAATACACTGCCAGGAAAGGTGAGACCATATTAGTACCTTAACTTTTTAATCTTAATGTACTAATCATCCATCCACTATAATTTTGTAACTCAAACATTGTGAGAGTTTTATCTTGGCTGCTATTATATATGGGCATTTTTTTTAATTAAAGTGTTTTAATTCCATGTCTCTATTTTATTCTTCACTTCAGATACTCAATCTTTAACTAAAATTATGAGTCTTCAGTTCAATTTTCACATACTGTTACCATCTGTGTTTAAAAGATAGTTACATTAGTCTATAGTTTTAGCTCATCTGAATGATATTTTAGACATTTTGAAATTGGATGGTAATTGAAAAGCCCAAATGTAATTGCAGACATCTCATAATAGAGATGTACATTTGATTTATTTTTGCCGATACATGTGCTTTGATCAGAAGGTGATGCTTGTGAGGGTTTGTAAAAGTAAAATGTGCCATGCCACCTCAGCTATGTGGCAAAACCTGAGGTGGAATTTCAGTTGCGGTTTCTAACACTGCACAGAGCAGCAAAACGAAAGCCTTTTCTTGCATCATGCCGTTTTTAAGCTATTGTTTACACAGCGACAACTCTGTACAACTGCCTTTGCAAGTTCTGATAAGGCTCAAATGCCTAACATGGAAAAATGTTGTAACTCTGGTTCAACCAGAAATGAGAGAGTCACCACTGACTTATGTTTTAAATGTCACAAAAAATCAAATTACTGTTAAAATGGCTAACAATATATGTTAGACCACAGAAAATATTAAGTTGGTCGTTTAGTTTCAACCACAATGACCTTATTTTAATTTTCTGATGCACATGTGATCCTGTAGGTGCCAAGTTTCCCATCAAGTGGACAGCTCCAGAGGCAGCGCTCTTTGGCCGCTTCACCATCAAATCTGATGTCTGGTCATTTGGGATCCTGCTGACTGAACTTGCCACCAAAGGCCGAGTGCCCTATCCAGGCAAGGGTTATTCTCTTTAGATTTGTATAGACCGAGCAAAGTGCAAGCTATATTGATATGGCCAAATAATTTCTTTTTGCATGCATAAAGAGAGATATTACATACACACAACTCCTATTATATACACTGTACTTAATATGTTTTTTGTATTTATTTATTTATTTTTTTAATTTTCTGTTTTTTGCCTAATTTGATTTAATTTAACTTAATACTTTTTTGCCCTGTAAGCTGCTGGTAACCTTAATTTCCTGAGGGAGTCTTCCCAAGGGATTAATAAAGTACAAGTCTAAGTCTAAGTCTAAACACCATGGTCGTGGTGCATTGTTTTACGATTTTAAATGTATTTGCTTGGTCGTCTCCCAGGTATGGTGAACCGAGAGGTGTTAGACCAAGTGGAGCGTGGTTATAGGATGCCATGTCCCGCAGAGTGCCCCGAATCCCTTCATGAGCTGATGCTGACCTGCTGGAGGAAGGAACCCGAGGAGAGACCCACATTTGAGTACCTGCAAGGCTTCCTGGAGGATTACTTTACCTCCACAGAGCCACAATACCAGCCAGGAGAGAATCTTTAACTATTGTTTGCACACATCCTGGATATCGAAAATCCAGCATCTGCTTAGAGAACACGGACAAGTGTGCATGAGAGAATTGTTTTTACAGGGCAGAAAGCAGCATCATTCTATGTACAATCAGTGACTTTGACATAAATGGCGAGTCAATTCGGCCATTCTAAGTCACTGTCATATTTTTTTAATGTTTTCATTCTGAGAGACTTTTCTCTAAGTCAGGGACTTGAACTGTGTTTTTTTCACCCTTTTTTTTTCTTTTTTTCTTTCCACACAGCTTCATCAATCAAATGAACACCTTAACTAAGAGGTGTGGTTTCTTTTTCGTTTGTCTGAAACGTAGGCAAAATTCTAACATTCTAAATATACTCTCCTTTACTTGCAAAGTGACTAGATTTTGGTTTGGAAAACTCGTGGGAGTATTGGTTATACACGGCATATGTTGTCCTGCATAAAATGCACTACTGGATGTCTTTTTATGGTACGTTTTCTCTTACTTCAAAAGTTAATACTCAGATATTGTCTTCTACTTTTTTACCGTTGAAGACATTACTTGAAATAGACAGTACTTTTAATGTCACTGACTTTTTTTTCTTCCTTTTTTGTCTTTTTATCTGGATAAACTGGAAATGTTTTTTAACATCTTTCATGATGAAGAGAGAGCTGAGCTTAAAAGTTAAGCTCTCGCTTTATCAGTCGATATACGTTTCAACCCTCATCTGTGGTCACTAACTTTGGGTAGTGACCCTGGAAAAGCTGGAGGGACTATTATGTCTTGGCTAGCCTGGGAACGCCAAAATGGATGGATGGATATTTAAGAGTATATTTATTATTTGTAGCCATGCCTCCCCCTGTGCACACTTGGGGCTTATTTCGTGAGTGTTAGGGCATTTGGAGTGAGAGTTACACTGAGTATTCCCATTTGAGCCTCACTGGACATATTGGTTTATTGCTGTAGTCGACATTCAATTTAGCGTAATGATGATAATAGACAGTCTCTGTTTTCTAATTGAGACCTTTTTATAACTTCAGGCAAATGGCAACTGATCATTAAATGTCACCTCAGGAGAAGACAAGAATTCAACTGCAAGAATTTTTGTGAAAATCTGTTGTCTTTTGTTCCTATCATGGACCATCAGTTAAGCAAAGAGTGGTTCTTCTTTCTTTTTCTCTAAAATAATAACCCCCTATTCAGTGATCCTGTATCTGTAATGTATCAAGTAACTGACTCATCAGCATGTTTTAAATGTGCTGATTTGTTTTCAGGCATTCGCATTAAAATGATGCCAATCTTCTTTTATTTCTCCCTGCAGTAACAGCCTCCACTGATATGAAGACTTTGTCAAACCTGCACTGGCAGTTCTTTAATTAGTTCACCTTTGAACACTATGTTACACTGGAAATACTTTCACTTTTTGAAAGTGATATGTGCAGGGTGTGGTTATAACTCCCTCTGGCTGATGGGAGGCAGACTGCAAAGTTCTCTTATCACCTCACACTATGTGCATGTACAGAAAAAACGGTTACATTTTGAAAGTTCATTGTAAATATCATTCATGTTTATTGTTTGTATATACCATCTTTATAATTTATTCATTTTGAATAACCCTGTTCTTTCCACCATTGTTCAATCTTTTTTATGGTCCTTTTATGGGTTAGATAACAAATGACAGTGATATTAAATGAAAACATCTATGTTATATGAACACTTTTTCAGTACAAATATCATGCTTTGTGTAAGCCTTTCTGAGAAAATCAACTAAATGTTACATTTTGAAATTATTACCGATGCAGGTGGAGAAAAAAGATTGCAACATTTTTGTAAACGATAGTTCTGTCTTGATATACAACAACGATTTACCATGTTTGCTCCTTTCCACTATTAATACCACAAGTTTACATCGTGAAAATCATCATTTTCAGGAAAATCATGAAAACTGAGTAAAAATAATTAAGCTGTCAAGCGTTACTCTTCCTTCTCTGTGTGTCTAACCAATAGACTGTTTGGCCTTTACAGGCTTGAATTCATAATGCACTGCTGATTAAGATTTTTTTTAAACAGCATTTGTAGCAGATGAAGCTTTTATAGCCTCAGCTGTAGGCTTTGTCACATGGATGAGAATTATTCTGTTTTTGTCAGAATGCCTGACTTTAATACATTTTATTTACCCTTATTGAATGCTTATGAACAAAAATATGTCAAATGTGCATGTTAAAGGTCATGTAATATCTGTGTGCAGTTTAGCTTTTCCGCTAAGGACATTTTATTTGGGGTTTTCTGGCTATGCAGAATATTTTTAATCTCTAATTTTCAAATATATACTCTTTTTCTACCATATTCAAATGGTATTTTCACAAAAATAACTATTTGTTCAATTTTACTGTTAAAATTTGAAAGGTACGTTTCAATAAAAGTTCTATACTTACAAATTTGTCCCCTTGTATGTTTATCTGACTTATTTGTACATCTTGAGAAAAACTACCCACTGATTTTTCCCATCCCCTAACACTTTTCTTTAAACCCATTTCCGTATTTGAAGGTACTTGATTTCTCTCCTTATCTTTTCGTCTGGCTTCGTAGTCAGTATTACCGGAGATGTAAACAAATATATATGCAACTATAAGATTTGGGGCTTGACTCCAAACATTTCAAAACATCTGGACTAACTGCCTTGGGGTGGTGTGGAGTCTCATGACTGATCCCATGAGCTATCTCAATGTCATTTAGCATAGCCTGCACAGCTGAATGACAAGGATTACTGGAGACAGACTCCACAAATCAAGCCCATGTTTCACCACCAATGAATCCATCCATCCATTGTATATACCGCTTATTCCTAGTAGGGACCATCCCACCCCAGGGGGGCTGGAGCCTATCCTAGCAGTCATTGGACAAAATGCAAGATATAGCCACGATCCATGCCTTGATCAGATCAATGTTTGCTGTTTTTTTTATTTTTTATTCCAGTTTCAAGAAGAATTCCAAGCCCTTTGATGATATACTGTTGTAATACTGTGATTTAAGACATTGCATGATGTTAAATAAGTAAAAGGGGTTTTACTAGCTTCAGTCACAATATTCAAATGTTTTTTGCAAGGGAATGGATAAAAAGCAATATTGCAAAATAATGTACACAAATGATAAGGTGGCAACACCTTTTAATGGTTTTTAGCTAAGGAGATGTGTTATTATTCTTAATGTGGAACTTTCAGTTATTGAATATTTTTAAATTCTAGTATTTTAATTCTGCTACTGATATTAGGAGCCCCTTTACAAAGTATGACTTACAGTAAAACTGCATTTACAGCTAATATTAGTATTATGTGTGTAAAAAAAAATACTCCCATTCCATCCATCATAATTTACGGGCAATATGAAAAATAAAAAAACAGAGGAGTATTTTTATTTTTACCCTGAAATTGTCTTTTTTATCGTAATTGATAAATTTACTTTTTTCAGAGGTTTATGTTAGCTAGCAACACTTCCTATTACTCATCAGTTTCTTTTTTATTCACTTGTTTTCCCCCCTCAGTGTCAATTATTAAATTGTATTTTTTGCGGATGAAAAATAAAATATAAAGGAAAGGAAAGAAAAGAAAAGCAGAGGTTGAACGCTATTTTTGTTCCATCCTCATTGTAAATGTATCGTATTGTGATGACCTAATAACACTTCACCTATCCAATCAGCACGTGCGCTCGCGCTGAGAAGAGCAGAAAGTCCCGGAAGAGACTCCACTCGTTCAGTATCGGTTCGAAGTGCAGGTAAAGCTGTCGTAAACAGGGAGGGAAAAATAAACGTCAAAACTAGGATGTAGCGACGCATGAAAGCCTTTTCCGACACGACTTCAAAACTGGTAAGGCTACTTCGGACAGCAAAGCTTTTTCAAATTATGTATGTGTTCCTTTGTTTGATTTGATTTGGGTGAGTTTGTATTTTCAACATTGTTTACAAGGCTTTTTTGTCTGAGTGAGTTAGGGCGTTTGGCGTGTCGTTTGTGTTCACTTTCATATTTTATTATGCTTGAGCGGAGTTGTTTGTTTGTATTATCTGCCGGTTTGCAAAAGAAGCTCTCGTAGGATATGAATATCGTTTTAAATCTGGCCTTGGACACGGGAGGCATATTGAGATGGCAACTTGCTTTGGCACAGCATGCCCCATTCAGTGCCACTTTCCGGTTATTTTGTAAGCTCTCTGTCATTGTAAGTTCCTAGAGTTGATTATTTTTTTTAAATTTCTTGCAGCTTCTAAAGTTCAAGATTGAAAGGAAATGATTAATCTTGCATTGTTTTGTTTTTTTCTTTGGTTGCTTTTTTTTGTTTTTATTTTTTTGTCGCTGTTGTCTCTTTGATATTCACTGTCCTCACACCCATTCGGTATCTCTCTTTTTCATTTTCTCTCCGTTTCATTTGGTTGGAGTTCAGTGTTTAGAACCAACATCCTGATACAAACAGTGCTTCTGGACACACAATCCAGATGTCAAACATGTAATAAGATGGGTGGGTTCCATAGGCACATCATACATCCCACTAGTGGAAGGAAAACATCCTTTAGCTTGATGATGTTTACATAATTGCTACAAAAACAATTATCTGTTTGACAAAAGTCAGATGATGAATACTGTGAGTAACCGTTTCACAGATGACAGTTCATTCTATATGAGTTAAACGTTTGTTTTCCTATACCATAATTTCTGTTAAAAGTGTGTCCAGAGGTAATATTATTCAGCTCCTCTGTTTTCTTTTATGTGACTGCATGTTTTTGAACATTTGTTAACAAAGAAAGGCAGGCCGAGTATAAATACAGCAGCCTACTTTAGAAATAGAACAAAAAATTGTGATCATCTCAATTATTTTTAGCTTTGACGTGTCTTCTTAAACCTACCTCCTCCTGCGTAGAGTTTCGGTTGCAAACTTGAAGATTTGATGAAGATTTTCCTTTTATGCTTAAAGCCTGCTGCACTGTTAATGCATTTATTTATTGATTTCTCTTTTTTTGCATAAATATCTTGCTAAAATCTCAACTCCGAAAAACTTTTGCCTGCTTTTTTAGAAAATATCAGTTGTTTCAACGCTGCATTGATATTATCTGAGCTATGATTTTTAAGTAGACACCCCTTTGTTAGTTGATTACCTCTGAGATTCCCATTTACACTTAACAAACATGCACAAATGCTGTTTGGTCTTGGGTTTATAGTACGTAACCACTTTAACATTTGGAATAGTTAAAGAATGACATGTGAACAAACAGGAAGAGACTGTGTTTTAGCTTCCTTTTTAAATATCTTCAGTTGCTGTGCCATCGTGACATTCACATTCAGTAAACATGCAGAATTGACAATGTAACTGCATTATTTTCAGCATTGCTGTTTCCATTTATGTTCACATGCACATCCATGGAGCAGAGGTCATAATGAAAGACTCACTTCTCTGGTGCATGACAGACTGCAGCAGAATTATATAAATATATATATATAGATGTTGTCATGAGGAAGTAAAATGAGAGGGTTTGACACAGGAAATGTCAGGCAACTGCACCTCATTTATTCTAATGTATGCTTAAAACAGTGTTTTCATCTGCTGCTAAGTGTTGCAATATACCGCTCAGACCAAAATGTTTTTAGTGTCATATGACCCTGACAGAAAAGATTGGCACGCTAAGATACCCACACTTCTTTGACAAGACCCACTTTTTTTTTTGCAGACACAATGATTAAAGTCACATTAAGCTTAATAAGTTAAGGACAAGAGGACACGTGTTTTCTCTCAGGATACTATTAGTTCTACTGCTGTATGACAGCAGAGTGTAATTTATCTTTTAGGATAAGTGTGTGTGTTATTCACTGAGTTATGGTGTTTTGAAAACTATTCCTGACCGTGATTATTCAACTTACAAGGAAAATTTGAAAAAGTTTGCTATTGAAATTAATAATTCACTTTGATCCAGGAACCAATAAAGTAATCGTCTCATGACTATGTGTACTTTGCTTACTCATACCGACATGCATTTGGGGCAATGTGTGTGAGTAACAAATTAGTTGTGGGTGGTTAATCACAGGGTGGTCATAAAAAGAAAAATATCAGACAAACACCACAGGAACCGAACTGGGGAAGTTACTAATGACTCAGACAACCAGGTGACTAGAAGCCCTTAGGACTTGAACTCATGGGCTATAATTATGAGAGCATGAGGAGGGAACTTCCCATTGCACAGTAGGTTGAAGATTAGGAAAACTGGATCCCCTGCAGACATTAAATTGTGAGAGGGCTTTGTAATCCTTTGCTCATTTACAGTAAACGTATCACCATTTCCCACTCCCAGGTAGGCAACGCTAACGTCATGTTATAATGTCTGCTTTCTCAGCTTAACGACTGATTTGGTGAAGAGGAGACACGGGAGCTCCTGTCGTCCACTATGGCAAACCAGGATCCCATAAACACTTCACATGCCACGTTCGACCTCTTTGTCCAAGCCAAGACTGTTCAGGAGGTGAAGCACCATTTTACTGAGCTTTGTGGGCAACTAGACATCGATCCAAAAGATTTCTTGAACTTCTACACCAAGTTAAAAGAAAGACTGAACTACTGGAAAGCCAAAGCCTTGTGGACCAGGCTCGACAAAAGAGCCTCTCATGCAGCTTACGAGCAACGAAAAGCCTGCCACAAGAACAAGGTACCGGCCATCCGTTTTCTTTTGTTGTTCAGTTATGTTTAAACTTTAAAAAGATTTTATTCTTATTTTCATGATTCATGTTATTTTCATGTTTACCTTGACAATGAAGGATTGTCAGGATAAAATTAAGCTAAGTCCTTCTGCCGTTTAAGTTTTAAGGTATGATATGATGGACAATATCAGGTCCTGACAAGATGTTAAAATGAAATAAAGAAATAAGAGCTACAGACTTTGCCCATTACATTTAGGGAATTTAAAAAAAAATCAAAATTTTACCTTTGGACCAAGAGTCAACCATAAACTTTTGTCAATACCAACGTTGTCTATAAAAGGATATAAGAAGATCTGTCTGACCTTTTAATACTTGGACAATGATCCCAAACACTGCTTCAAACCTGAGCAATAACTAACGTATATCAGGTGAAATACTGACAGTGAATGGTGTACTCCAGACTCCATGTGTTGATTTTCCATATGAGCATGTATATACCTCATTTGAATGAGGGGAGGGACAGATGTTTTGACTACTTGTTTTGAGGAACTTGTTTTAACTATGAACATAAACCAACTTCTCGGGAAGTTCTAAAAAATGTTATCTTAGCACGCCATCGTTTTAATTTTCTTTTTCCATGTAAATTCTAAAAGTTATTGAAAGTACCAGAAGAAACCTTTGTTTTTGTTTTTTTATCTGCTTTTTTTAAACACAGCACAGTTTAAATATTGTATTATCTTAATGATATTTTACATGGTTTAGATTGCTCTTGTGAAAAACAAATAGCCTGACTCTTTGAGCCCTTTGATAAAAAGGTATGTTTAATTGGTATGTTAATTGGTATGTTTAATTGAATTGAAAATGTGACAACTGGAAAATCAGGATGTTTTCCATTGTAGAGATAAGAATGCATTTTGTTTACACTGATTGGAAATAAATTCCAATTACTTCTTAGACGCTGAACATTCTTTGTTTTTTGTCTTAGTGTCTTGTTTTGGGTGCCGGACCATGTGGGCTGAGAACAGCCATTGAGCTCTCCCTGCTGGGGGCCCAGGTGGTTCTGTTGGAGAAGAGAGAGGAGTTCAGCAGGAACAACGTTCTCCACCTGTGGCCCTTTACCATCTGTGACCTCCGTGAGCTCGGAGCTAAAACGTTCTACGGCAAATTCTGTTGTGGCTCTTTGGATCACATCAGTGAGTGCATTCCACAGACTATATGGCATATGCCAAGGTTCAGTAGCCTAAATTTGGTATTATCTATATATTCTAATATGTATAAATTATTATCTAAATCAATTATATCAGTTTGATATAACCGGGACAAATGGTTTATTTACTTCAAATAAATTCTGGAAATAATGAAAATTTGATACATTTAAAAATATATAGTTTTAGCCTGTCAACGAAAATAAATTAAACATCACACCATTGAAAACAATAGACAGTGATATTGATCGTCTTGTACATACCTTTCCAATACCACATTTTTCTTTTTTGAGGTATCCGCCAGTTGCAGTTAATGCTTCTGAAAGTATCACTGCTCCTCGGGGTGGAGGTGCACACCGGCGTGGAGTTCCATGGTTTAATTGAACCTTCAGGAGAAAATGGTATTGATTTTTAAATCATCGTCTCTCCTACACGTTCATCCTTTGTTGTAAAAGTTACAGTGAATATCTTGGAATTGAAATCAACTTGGGATCACGATGTAGACTATGTTTACTTTTTCTCTTTGAAAGGTTGGAAGGCAAAGCTTCAGCCTCAGTCTCACCCCGCTGTAGTCTTTGAATTTGACGTCTTCATTTCTGCTGGGGGAGGCAGGTTTGTCCCTGATGGTGAGACTATCACTCATGCATGCTTGAATCACTCTATGTTGCAATAAGGTGCACAACGATGTATTGCAAGGTACACCAATGCACCAACTTCCCATAACGCATTCTATTTTGAAAAGCAAGCCACTTTTGGTCCAGTTTCCTCTTTTTATGTTTGTTTTTTTTCTCCAAACGCTTAGGTTTTAGACATAAGGAGCTGAGAGGAAAGCTGGCAATCGGAATCACGGCCAATTTTATCAATGGGAACACGGCAGCTGAGGCCCAAGTGGCTGAGATCAGCGGCGTTGCCCGCATCTACAACCAGAAGTTCTTCCAAGATCTGCTTAATGAGACAGGTAGGAATCCAAACATTTGTAGTCGTACTCAGCTGCATGGGGGAAATTTAATATGACTGTACTTTGGTTTATGCTTAAAGCAGGAAAAGTCATGCATAAAAGACGAGTTGGATTTTTCACTCTGATTTGCTCTGAGTGAGAATATAAATCCTGAAATGGTGTCAATGAAGCATAATACTTCCAGTCATTAGCTCATTGTTTTTTTTAAATTGTTTTTCCTTGTTAAGAGAGCCCTTTTAAAATGAGAAATTGTTCATACTTGCAGTTTGAGTTCACAGTGAAACAGGCCCTAATGCAGTTGAACTACATCCTAATTCTACTTTTCCAACTTTCATTTCTGACATCTATGAGTATGCACCTGCTACACTTCTATTATAGTGAAATTATGTTAATTTCCTCCAGTTATTTTTCACCCTCTTTAACCCATTTTAGCAGTTAACCCACTTAAAACCTCTGTGTAGCTTTGTTATCCTAAAACCAGTTAAACCAGTAGTAACGGAAAACAAAACAGTACACACGGACTGCTAACACTCCATTAACAGTGTAGTATTTTTTTCTAGTTAAGCCCACCACGAACTCGCTCTGTATTTTGTTCCAGGTATTGATCTGGAAAATATTGTCTACTACAAAGATGACACCCACTACTTTGTCATGACTGCCAAGAAAAAAAGTTTGCTAAAGAAAGGGGTAATTAAACAGGTGAGAAATTATTTTGTGTGTGTGTTTGTATTGCACAGACTGCATCTCTGTCTCCTAAATACAAAGAAATAAACCAGATAAGTGCAACAATTATGTAAGTGTGTTTGTATCAAGAGATACAGTGGTCTGCAAAAGTTTGGGCAACCTTGTTAATTTCCATGATTTTCCTTCATAAATCGTTGGTTCTTAGGATTAAAAAAATCAGTTAAATATATGATATAGGAGACAAACACAGTGGTATTTGAGAAGTGAAACGAAGTTTATACCATTTACAGGAAGTGTGCAATAATTATTTAAACAAAATTAGGCATGTGCATAAATTTGGGCACCACAAAAAAAAAAAAAACTCAATATTTAGTAGATCCCCCTTTTGCAGAAATAATAGCTTCTAAACACTTCCTATAGCTTCCTATGAGAGTCTGGATTCTGGTTGGAAGTATTTTGGACCATTCCTCTTTACAAAACACCTCTAATTCATTCAGGTTTGATGGTTTCAGAGCATGGACAGCTCTCTTTAAGTCACACCACAGATTTTCAATAATATTCAGGTCTGGGGACTGAGATGGCCATTCCAGAACGTTGTACTTGTTCCTCTTCATGAATGCCTTAGTAGATTTCGAGCAGTGTTTAGGGTCATTGTCCTGTTGAAACATCCATCCCCGGCGCAGCTTCAGCCTTGTCACTGATTCCTGGACATTGGTCTCCAGAATCGGCTGATATTTGGTGGAATCCATGCCTCCCTCAACTCTAACAAGATTCCCAGTCCCTGCACTGGCCACACAGGCCCACAGCAGGATGGAACCACCACCAAATGTTACTGTAGGCAGCAGGTGTTTTTCTAGGAATGCTGTGTTGTTTTTCCTCCATGCATGACACCCCTTGTTATGTCCAAATAACTCAATTTTAGTTTAAACAGTCCACAGCACCTTATTCCAACTTGTCCAAATGTGCTTTAGCATACCTCAAGCGGCTTTGTTTGTGATGTGGGCGGAGAAAAGGCTTCTCCAGCATCAGCATCTCCTTGTGTAAAGTGCACGCAATAGTTGTACGATGCACAATGACTCCATCTGCAGCAAGATCATGTTGTATGTCTTTGGTGCTGGCCTGTGGGTTGACTTTGACTGTTCTAACCATTCTTCGCTTCTGTTTATCCGTGATTTTCCTTGGTCTGCCACTTGGAGCCTTAACTTGAACTGTGCCTGTGGTCTTCCATTTCCTGACTATGTTCCTAACTGTCGAAACAGACAACTGATATCTCTTAGACAGCTTTCGGTATCCTTCCCCTAATTCATGATGGTGAACAATCGTTGTTTTCAGGTCATGTGACAGTTCTTTTGAGACTCCCATGTCGCTACTCTTCAGAGAAGGTTCACAGAGGAGGGAAACTTACAATTGCCCCCCCTTAAATACTCTCTCATAATTGGGTTCGCCTTGTGTATGTAGGTCAAGGGTCACTGAGCTTCCCAAACCTATTTTGAGTTCCAATAATTGGTTCTAAAGATTTTGAAATCAGTAAAATGACAACAGTGCCCAAATTTATGCACATGCCTAATTTTGTTAAAACAATTATTGCACACTTCCTGTAAATGGTATAAACTTCGTTTCACTTCTCAAATATCACTGTGTTTGTCTCCTATATCATATATTTAACTGATTTTTTTTATCCAAAGAACCAATGATTTATGAAGGAAAATCATTGAAATTAACAAGGTTGCCCAAACTTTTGCAGACCACTGTATTATTCTCTCTCTGGTCAGACCCGTTAGTTAATGCAGTAAACAGTGTGTGCCTCTTCTCACTGTGTCTTCTCAGGACTATGGTGATGCAGAACTGCTACTGGCATCTTCAAATGTTGATTACGAGGCTCTGCGTCGTTATGCCCACGATGCAGCTTTCTTCTCCACGGGTGGGGAACTGCCTGACCTTCAGTTTGCTCAGAACCATGCTGGCCAGCCAGATGTGGCTATGTTTGACTTCACCTGCATGCACCGTGCCGAGAATGCTTCCCTCATCAGAGAACGGAGGGGCAAGAAGCTGTTAATGGGTCTTGTTGGAGACTGCCTTGTGGAGGTAGGGGTCCTATTCATGTTGATTTCTCTTTATTTTTCATTGTTGACCTAGGGGTATGTCATCTTGTAGATTCAGCCCATTTAATCTTATAACTATTTTTATCATCACATGAGGGTTTCAATTGACTCAAGAACCAAGAAATAATCTACCCAAAAAACCTGCAAATATACACAAATTGCCTCTAAGCAAATGTAAGCTTGAATTGTTTATAAGAAACTGGTTTAGACAGGACAAATCGCAATCAACATATATAATTTTTGCCTCTTGCCGAAGTTTACACCTTAGTGAGCTATTCAACCTATTGGTGGATTACTGGGTCATACTCCAAGCTCAGAGTGGAAATATTCAGCCTGCTCTCGAACATGTAAGCTCATCTCAAAATTTTGATTAGATGTAATTTAACGTAGTTTTGTGTCAAAGGTTTAGAAAATACAATTGCAATTAAAGGAAATAATTGAATAATTCCCTACCAGTGTTTCATTTAACACTACACACAAACCGGGAAATCTATGTAGCTGAATAATCTGAAAAAAGTTTTGAAAAGTTAAATTGAAATAAACTAGGGGCACCTGCCTATCACTTTTCAATGTAACCAATGTTTACATTCAGTAACATTGGTGTGTTTTAATGAAAATGGGGAGTTGGGTTTACAATATTTCTTCTTTCAGATTTTGTGTATTAACATTGTCTTGCATGTTCATATACTGGTCACTACTACTGTAAATGCTGCTAATAGATTGATGCGCGTTCTGTTTTCCACAGCCCTTCTGGCCCCTTGGAACAGGCATAGCTCGTGGGTTTCTAGCTGCTTTTGACACAGCATGGATGGTGAGGAGCTGGGGTATGGGTGTCCCACATCTCAAGGTCCTAGCTGAGCGGTAAATTACATACACTCATTTGCAGATTATACCTTTTTATTTTATTTATTTATTTATTTTTTTGCAGTCGCAATGTCATTGAAATTGTACTAAATTACGAAAACTAGCGGTGCCCTGCCCCTCTGCTTCCTGCCAGCTGCACATACTGTTTGTATTTCACACAAATGGCCAAAAATGCCCATTTAACTGTAAGCATCATATTTGTTCTGAGAAAGATAGAAACTTAGACTTTAATGTTTTAAAGTGATACTCAGTCAATACCGTTTAGCTTGAACATTTATTTTAGCTTTCATCTTGGCCTTATTAGTCATTCCTAATGAGACCAGTTTGACTGAGATCATTAGATCGAAGATTAATTGTTTTAGGCTTTGTTTTAATTGAAGAGGCATGCATTTTCAGGATATTTTCTCGATTTAACAAGAAATAATTATCAGACCAACATTTTTGTCGTAGCTGTGCTTATAATACAACAATTGTTGACTGATTTTGGGTTTTGCTGTGCTGAAATACAAATTGGGTTCGTTTTACAGGGAAAGCATCTACCAGGTTCTTTCCCAGACCACGCCAGAAAACACCAGCAAAAACTACTCTCATTACAGTATCGATCCAAAAACACGGTACAAGAGAATCAACCTTTCCTCCATTCATGCCCACCAGGTAAGCACAATTATCCTGTAATGACAGGACTGAAATTAACAGTTTCTCATTGTCATGTTGTCACAACCTTTCCCAGTTCAACAAGAGCAGATAAAGTTGCAATATCTTGTAATGGCATAGATCCCTTAATAACTGCCTATGAGATGCTAGCATATTCCATTTTCAAATTATTTTTTCAAACTGTGAGCCCAGAAAGTTTTTTTATTTATTTATTTTTATTTCCAATTATGACCATTCTTGGGTTTCTTAATCACATCTAGTAAAGGCCAGTAATGTATTGTCTGTTTTTAAAAGCATATTTATATCATAAGCTCGTCTCTGACAATTTCAACAATTCATATTTTAGGTGCAACACTTATACGATGCTGATAAACCCCAGCCATCAATCAAGAAATCGAAGGACAGCCAGTCTCAAGGTAAGCTGCTCCTTTTTGTACTCATCTTTCATTCTAGTGGTTGCCCTGGTAATTTGTTGCATTATAATTCAGGTGAACTAAGATACAGTATGGAAAACATTAAGATGTTTACAAAGCTGTTGCTATGGCTATGAAGTCAGACGAGGTTCCACATTGTTCTCTGACATTGTCTGATTGCTTTTGCTTTTACAGATGCAGTCGGTGGCGTTGAAGAGTTGTTGAAATGGTGCCAGAAACACACTAGAGGCTGTCAGAATGTTAATGTGAAAGATTTTACCCAGTCCTGGAGCTCTGGACTGGCTTTATGTGCCCTGATCCATCATTTCAGACCGAAGCTAATGTGAGTAATTTGGACAAAATGAATTGGCTAAATATTATGCAATGGCTCCATGTCTCTAAATGCTAACTCATAAAATACATGACAAATTAAACAAATTAACTGGCAAGTCCAATGGCTCACAGCATATATACATTTAAATGACTGGGTTAAGAAATTTCAATGTCTGGAAATGTGATTTATTTTTTCTTTTGATTTATGTTTCTGTCGAGAAAATGATTAATTTAACACATTGATCATTTTTTGGGGGGGGGAGGGGTTTTTTTATAAAACCTTTTTTTTTTTTGGAAGAAAAAAAAATCAAACAAATGTAATGATACTAAAGATTATTATATCAGTTTGGGTCAGAGAATTTAATAAGTTGCTCATTGTATGTTTTGCTTGTGGGGACAAAAATGATAAATGGATCTTTAGTATCTCACTTGAGGGATACATGGATCTACTTTTTTTTAAAGAAAATTCTAGTTAGAAAAATTTATAGTATAGTTGAAATTATAGAAATAATAAAGATGCTTTCTCTTTCTTCTTAAGTGACATATCATCTCTGGATGAGTCAGATAGTGTTCGCAACTGCCAGCTGGCCTTCACTATCCTAGAGAAGGAGTTTGGCATCCCCCCTGTGATGTGTCCAAATGACTTGGCCAAGAGTGGTCAGATAGACAAGTTATCCATGGTGTTGTACCTTACACAGATCCGAAATGCTTTCACTGTGTCGCCAAAAGGTAAATGTTTTCTGTTTTTCTTTAAAAAGATTTTTTTGAAAGGTCTACCACTGTCAATTTGAAATAAGAGTGCTTTGCAACATGCTACAGACAATGTTTTAATGAAAACCATTAGTTGTCTTGATTTATTTTAGATCATAGCTGGCAATGGCAGCAGCTTCATATTTGCATAACTTGGTTGCTAAGACACTGTACGGCATTAGCATCACCTTAAAAGGGTCAGGTGTCCTCCCGCTGATATATGTGCAGTGTGGAGTGGCGATCAAGACTGTGCTGTCCCTTTAAGACCCAGTTACCCAGAATTCATTGAGCCTCAGTGGCGAGTGCTGTGCTCAGAGCCAGCCTCTACTGGTTGTGCTGCTCCCCTCCACTAAGCAAGCCCGGCAAGAGGGTCTAAAGGGAGCAGCATTTTTGAAGGGAAGCTGCTGTTCCGTCCCTAGGGAAGGATATCCTGTGTGCCGTTTTGCAGCAGAGGTATTTTACCGTTTATTCGGTTGATGTGTGAGCCCAGCCTTTGGAGGCACTGAATGAGCAAAAGTGGGTGTGATGTACGCTCCGTGTCTGTGATGCTGCTCTGCTCGGATCCACTGACTGACGTACAGGCAGAAGGGAGCTGTCAGTCCTAAGCAACCACATCTGCATGATGGAAGAGTGGGCGTGATTGTCACAACTAGTTTTTGTCTTTTTTTTTTTTTTTTGTCTAGTTCCGTTGCTACTGCTATGATGCTAAATAAAAAATAAGTTGGAATGAAATGGCTGACTAGATCTTTAAATCCTAGATCTTTCATCCATGGTCAGACTATTTAAGATAGCGTAATGAAGAGCTGCAAATTATCTTTGGTAATGCGTCAGCCATATGTAATGGGAAGATAACTTTAGTGTGATGTGCCTCTATCTGACGTTTCTCTTGTCTTTCATTTTCCTTTGATAGAACCTGAAAGCTTCCAGCCGTCCTCCAAGTCTCTCAGTCTGTCTCGGACACAGTCGGTTGTCTTTTTCCTGAGCAAGCTGAAGCACAACTCTCTGCTAAGACGCAAAGTAAACCTTCTCTGACTATACAAAATGCATTGATGTTTGATTGTTTGTTGTTTTTAAACACTGTGCTTGGTTGGCTAAAGTACTCAATATCATTGGTGTTTAGTCTGTAAAAGCTAGTTTGATGATTTGAAGTTCATTCGAAGAAAGGGGTTTGTAGTCTTTCCAATCATCAAAAATGTTTAATCATGTTTTCCACATAGCCAACTAAATGGTTATTTCAGTAGTTTTTGCTCTTTTCTTTGCAGGAAAAGCTGAAAACTGAGAATCAAGCCACAGAATCTGAAAAAAGGATGGGCGATGTGGAAAATGTGAGTTTCTTTTAGCCAATCACTCCACATTTTTCCTTATCATAATCCCTACACCTCCAGATAGGTGTGCTATATTAGAGCTGAGCTTGACTTGGCCCTCTCACCTTTTCTTCAGGATTCAGTGCCTTCTGTGTCACCTGAACTCAATCCCGTGCCCCCCACTGCTCCAGCTCCGACTCCAGAGCCCACCCCTATGGTGTTTATGTCAAATAGCGAGGAGTGTTACTTCTGTGCTCAAAGGATGTATGTCCTGGAGCGCATCAGTGCCGAGGGCAAGTTCTTCCATCGAAGTTGCTTTACATGTCACCAGTGCAGCATCACACTCAGACTGGGAGGATACACATTCGACCAGGAAACGGGTGAGCACAGTCAGAAAAGAAATCTCAAAAGTGCTCTTAGTTATCATGATTCATTTTTGATCTGGCAGTTGTCGGTTCTGGTACTGGGTTCTGCAATTATTTTTATATGAAAAAACTTTTGATAAGATGTTCCTTTTCCAAACTCTAAAAATGTTATGATAGTGTATGTGGTTTATATTTTTTTTTCTTAGAACATATGTTTAATAATAAGCATCATATTACATTTTTTTTCAGACAACCAAATTTGGACTTGTTTGTTTTTTGTGCTTCTGTTCCACCAAATTCACATGGGATAATAGGATTTCTGCCTTTTTAGTATTTTGTTGGTGACTTTAGACTTTTCACTTTTATAGATTTTAAACTGGAAATGGAAGGGACGTCCCATGACTTCATCTGTCGTCTTTTGTTAGGGCTTTAAAAAATTTTTGGGGTGTAACCAATATTTTGACAATAGGGTGTATATTGTATTTTTTTTTTGACAGAAATGAGAGCTCCTTCTAATTCTTTCTAATCAAAAGAATATCAGGAAAGTCAGTGCTTGATGCTTATGCATGCCTAAATAATAAAATGGGCTGCACATTGAGTTGTGGTTAGCATTTTCATCTCGGGTTCCCAGTTCGAATCCTCAAAATGCCTTTTTCTGTAGAGTTTGCATGTTCTCTGCATGTATGTGTGGGTTCTTTCCAGGTACCTGGATTACCTACAGAAGCATGCATGTAAGGTTAACTGATTATCCTCAATTGCCCATACAGATTTATGTTTATGCATTTATCAGACGCTTTTATGCAAAGCAACTTGGAATGCAGATACAACATTGCAGTTGGCATCAACCTTACAATAAGCTAGGTAGAAAAAAAATACTAGTTAAACTCTTAGTGGAAACAGTGGTGACAGTGTAGAGATAGTGCAAAGTACAGAAAGAGTAATAGAGGGGATGGGGAGGTACAGGGTAAGAGTTAGGGAAGGAGATGCTCTCTGAGAACAGGGTTTTCAAGAGATTTTATTGAAGATAGACAGGGATGTCCTTGTTCTTGGTAGGTTTTTCCACCCTCATGGAACGACACACGAAAAGAGTCTGGATTGTCTTAAGCGTGGTGTAGGCACGGCAAAATGACAATCCTATGATGACTGGAAGGACCAACCCTTTGCTAGAGTATTCACGTAGATGGGAGCCGTACCCTTAAACACTTTGTTGGTTAATGTTAGTGACTCGCCAACAACAATTTGCCCAACCTCTTACCATGACAGACTGTATTCCTGTTTTAAGGTCCTCTTATCGTGCCAATTAAGAAATAGTTTCTTCCGCTATTTCCCTCTTTTCTTAATTTCTCAGCCCTTCAAAATAATTTCTGGCCTATGTATGAAGCTCCAGCAGTTGGAATAGTCCAACCAATATTTTGATCTTAATTATTAAATTATTTCATAGACATACATGCTGATAATGACTGATAAACTTTATTGTGTATTGCATGCAAAAGCTCTTGGAACTTTCTCATGTTGCTGTGTCACTTACATTTGTTGGACTAAATTAACTTTGAATTGTTCTTTCACCACTGCCCAAAGGGAGATTTTACTGTGAATTGCACTCTGAAGAGCTTGGGCTTACAAACGGAGTTGAAACATCATACGAGGTGGGTCATGGAAAAGAAAAATTGTAAATCCTTCTATGTATTGTCACTGCTGACCACTTTGAAATTTTTGTCTTCTGAATGCTCTTGTCATAAACTAATCTGTGGCATCATCAGTCTGTCTCTTGAAGATGTCTAATGAGCATTTTTCTTGAAAAAGTAATTGCTGACTAACTTCTGATTCTTTCATGTATTTAGGATTGCACAGGAAATTACGAAGAGACTGATGAAGAGAATGGGCTTTCAAGTGAATTTTATACAGCATCTCCATCAGATGGGCACCCTCCCCATATGAAGCCACCTGAATCCAAAGAACCAGACCCGTGTATACTTGAATCCAAAGAAGAGCCGAGCAAGCCCAACACTTCTATTGAACCCGTACCTTTTAGTGAAGTTGCAGAACCTACTTTGGAGGAAGGGGAAGAAAATATGCCCCGTCCAATCCCAAAACCACGGTTGTCTCGGCAGTCCAGTCCCTGCCCAGCCCCCTCTCCCCCTGTAGCGAAACCCCGGCAAACTTTCCTACGTAATCTTTCCCCTCCAGAAAAGCCCTCTTCTTCAGCCCCCGAAGACGAGGCGGCCAAAACGGGGCCGGACTCCCGTCCCAAACTGCGTAAGCTTCCATTATCCGACGAGGAGAAAAACCAGCTGATGAATCTTCAGAGTTTCAGCATAGACTCGGACTCGGAGACCCACGGCGAGTCCTCCTCCTGTTCCTCCTCCTCTGCAAACGCCGGAGGGCCTCCCAAACACGAGGGCCTGGACGGACAGGAGGAGGAAGGGTACTGGAGCGGGAGCACAGCCAGCTGCATTCGGGAAAACAGGAATCGACGCTGCTTCAGGAGAAAAGAGATGCCAAACGGTCAGAACAGAGTACGGTCCAAGTTTTCCCCTTGGAACCTTTCCTCCCCGAGAATTAGCAGAGACACCCGACTCAGTGTCCACGTTACTCATCCAGGACGAGTGGGTGGGTTTAAAACATTAACTTTTTTGGATTAAGACAAGCAATTGAAAAGAAAAGCTTGCTCTTTGATTTTTTTTTTTTTTTTTTTTTTGCGGAGGAGGGGAGTCTTGACTTTATTTTAAAATAGTTTTTCTTTCTTTTATAGCAGAAACAGCTTTCAGGACGGTTCCTTGTGCCTCACAAGAGGGCGTGGATGGAGATGATGACGATGAAGATGACATGTTTGAACAAGATGACATGGACTCACTTGATATGAAGGTAACGAGTAGAGATTATATTTTTTTGTTTTATACGATGATAGATGGCTCTTACACTTTTATCGGTGCCCTGAAGAACCCATTGTTTGTCTCAGGAGCCCTCGGATCCAGCTGAAGCAGAGAAGCTGGAGTTGATGAAGATGAGAACTCTGGAGAGGAGAGCTAAGATGAGTGAAATAGAGCGGTTTCGAAAGGCTCAGGTCAGTATCATTGTGTAGTCTATAATTTTCCGGTGTCATTTGTAAACAGAATAAGATGTTGATGGTCATGTCTCATTGGTCATCTATCTGCAATAGCATTGAAAATTCAGTTGTCATTGCGTTATAAGGACAGAGATTGAATCCTACAATGCCCACTCTGTTGAATACTTTATGATGCGTTTTGTGTTTGCTTCTTTTTTTTTACTTTGTGCTTCTGCTCCACCATATTTCATATGAAAACATATAAATTATACATTTTTGGGATGTTTGTTGATGGCTTTAGTTACGTTAGAAAAAAACTGAAATGAACAGACGGAAAGGATATGCCATGACTTCATCCATTGTACCCAATAAGCAGATACTGTGTACTCCTAGATAGGATATATATATATATATATATATGGGATTAGAAGCATTTTATGAGTTTGTTCATATGTAGATAAAGTTGAAAAGGTGCCCGTTTACCATCAGTTGTTAAGGCTTAACTCCTAGAAAAAATGTCAAACTAAATATTTGGACAGAAAAAGGCCAAGCAAACTTGGAGCCTGCAGTTTTTCTTTTATTAAACTGTTACTGTGTCTGTGGCCTCTTGGTCTTTATCTTTTATTTTAAAGCCACAACAGAAATCTCATGTGCTTTTAGATTTGTTTTGTGTAAACTTACTCTGTTTAAAGCTTAGACAAAAGCAGCTACCCTAACAACCTTGGTTTGTCTTTAGATATATGGAGCTAGACAAGGCCACATTTGGGTTGTAGTGGAAAAGGAATAGCTGAAACCTAACCGTTTCTTTTTAAGTCCAATGTCCCTTTACTAATTGTGAATTAGAACCCTAATTTTGATTAATTTTAAATTTAAAAAACTTTAATGACTGATGTTGATATGCATTTCAGTGCACCATCAAAACCATTGGACAAAAATCATATGTAAATAACTTGGATGTAATAACATTGCACAAATATGTTTTGAGCACTCATCATATTCAGTGACTGTAGCTGTATTACAAATTTGGTGTGTTTTTATTTTATTTTTTCTAGAGCTTTGAGATTGAAAAATCACCTCTCACTAATAATGAGCGACTAAATTAAACACCACAGTAACTTGTAGGAGTAATAAAGCCTTATTATTTGATGAGACTAGATAATATTTGATTAGTGGGACTGTGAAATTACGTGGGTTTCTCATTTTTACACTTAAAAGGATTTTCTCAGCATGGTCTATGTATTTAATGGCTACATTCTCCCTACAGCGCATGTGATATCCAGCTAACCTAAAATAGTCCCATATGCGTGGTAAAGGATGGAATAACGTTACATGTAGCGAGAGTGCTCAGTCTTTATAGTCCGGCTCATTAAATTTGACCTGCATGTACAGACACAGGTCACATTTGAAAAGATTGGTTACATGTTCGATTATTGTAATGCTTTTGTCGTCCACAGTCAATCCAGAGAAGACTGGATGAGATCGAGGTGACCTTTAAGGACCTGGAAGACAAAGGTGTGGAGTTGGAGAGAAGTTTGCGAGGGGAAGCCGGTAAGAAAACACGAACATATTATTCTATTTAATAAACCAATCAAAGTTCTAACCGAATTCCCTGTCAAGTTCTTATTCTTTAAACGTTTCCCATTGGCACAACTGCTGGGATAGCAAATCCTCTTCCAATAAACTTGTCTGCTCTGATATGCCTCATTCCATCTGAATCAGCTCTGCTGAAAACAGAAATTTTCAAAAGTTGAGAAACGTATCCTTGAATGTAGAAGAACGAAAACTTTAAATACCCTGAATATTCCAAAAAACATTTATTGTTTTCCTTTTATGGCCAGACAGATGCACAGTTGACAAAAAGTGCAAATGTTTAGGGTTAAAAACCTTGAGCAAATACAAAGTACAAATTAGTGTGGTAATAAACTGTCTTTGCTATATGAGCACAGTTATGTAAAATACTTGATGAGTAACAAGGGTAGTGATATATAAAACATCATTTTGTACGTCAGTTGAGCTTATAATGAATAAATGGTTTGTAGGCTCCCACACGAAGCTTCTGCACACTGTGTGTTCTCAAGTAGGAAATTATTCATATGTCATACTATTTTATCAAGAGATTCCATACAAATGTATCCTTCTTCTTAATTTTTTTTCTCTCCTATATCTACCATCTTGCACAGAGTTTCAAACACTGATTTTCTTTGTCCAGGCAACAGCGGTTCCACTGATAAGGTTGAACAGTGGATCCAGCTCGTCCATGAGAAGAATGCATTGATTTCTGAGGAGTCTGAACTTATGGTGGCGTAAGTCAATTTCAGTCTTTAAGCAGCATTGTGACATGCCAAGTTTAGGGTCCAAACCAGCAGACCTTTGAGCTATTTTTGGTGACTGGTCGCCCCTCAAAGTGCGAGCAACCATTCTTCATATGCCCTCATGGGGATTTGTAGCAGTAGAGGAATCAACTTTTATGCACAATTAAGCTTAAACCTGTTTTCCCCCAGGTCCCGACAGCTGGAACTTGAAGACAAGCAGAGCATATTGGAGTTGGAGCTCAGAAAATTCATGGATCTTGAAGGTATGTATTTCATACCGGAGGAATAAACCGTTACTGTTGAAATTCATTCAGATTTTTGAAAAACATTATGTGAGCGAAATTATTCTGTCAGCCTCCCCATCATAAATCTTACTTAATCACACTGGGAGTCATTCACTAAAACTTTTTAACTCGAAAACGTACAGGCTAGTCAGTTTTACTTAAATAGGCGTCCAAGCTTTTTGCTGTGTGGTATTTATGATCTCAAATAATTTTGTGTAATATAGCACTTCGTCCATTTCACTGCTGGTCAAATGTAGAACAATGGAATATGCTGAAGTACTGATTTTAACCTGAAATCCCTTTTTGTTGTATTTCTTACATGCTCTGACTGAAGCAAAAACTTAGAACTGAAATAGAGGATTTAGTTTTGAAGTTGCATGATGGGCCTTGCAAATAAATGTAATGTATATTCTGATGGCGACTGTAACATTAACTTAAAACTTTCACTTTAACGTTTTTTCTTCAGTGGGGGAGGTGACTAAAAAAAGTTAGACCTGCCAAGTTTTGCAATTGTAATTGGAGATATTTTTGTCTCCAACAGACAAGACACCAGAGCAGCAGGCAGAGGAAGATCGAATCCTTCACCAGAGGATCGAGGTTGTGAATATGAGGGACACTTTGGTGTCGTTTTTGGAGGAGAAGAGATTGAAAGAGATCAGCGAAGAACAGGAGGCTTTTTCCATCATGGAGGCCAAACGGCACTCAAAGGCAGGCTCTCAAGTTCACTGGGCTTAAGCGTTTTGACCCCGTACTTAAAGGACGGCCCTGTTCGATGCTATGTTGGGTACTTTTTTACGATTAAACTAGTTGCTTTCACATGTGGAACCTGAAACTTTCATTTTCAAAGCCAAAGATTATGCAGGATGAAATTCAAGCTTAAGAGCTGGAGTCCAGGTAAATATCAGTTCCAGTCCATCCCTCAGAGAGAGGCACAAGTCTGAAGTTCTTAGGCTTTTGTTAAGTGTGTCTGATAACTGCAGCCAAGTCCTGCTCACCAAGATCGTGAGATCATGGAAATATGCCATACATAAAAAATAATATATATATATATATATTGTGGTAAATGTACTACACAAAGTAGATGATAATTACCAAGCCAGTTATTCGACATGGTTTAGTGTTACAAAAATGTATTGATAGCAAAGCCCAGACAGAGCAGCATAAAACTTTGGAATCCTGATGGATGCGGTTTGAAAACACGTCACAGTTGGGGAATATAGTTTTGGAAATACAGAAGTTCGATGGTCATGTTGATTTAAAATGTGTCATCATGGATGAGTGTCACTGCACAAGAACACACGCTATACATATCTTTATTGTATCTTTGATATTTATTTTTAAAAAATCAATATAAGTTTTTTGTTTTTAAACCAAAATGAATTTGAAATGATAGAATGGTGAATTATGAGGGTTTTTTTTGTTGTTTTTTTTTATCTAGTTTTCATCTATAAATGTTCAAATATTTTGTAGCACCTCCTGCTTCACCATTTTTGTTTCTCGTAGCATGTTGGGTAGTTAATCTCAGGGGTTGATAGGTCAGTCCTGTTGAGTCAGAAGATGGGTGTGTCGATTGCCTTCAACAGGCAGCTGCTCCTTGAATGGCCATGTACAATACAAAAAAATGGGAGTTTTGCAGGGAGTTGAAAAGCAGACTAAAGTGGAGTGCTTCATCTATTTATAAATGCCACCATTTACAATCGGCAAGTTTTGCTGAAGAGTCACATGAACAAAATCGGAAAAAGAACAACACGTGGAAAGGTAAAACAGCCTTATACTTTGTTCATTGCTCTACTATCATTTTGTGTCACCTGAACAGTGCTTCACAGTATATCAAATAAAGATCATGCACTTCAAGGTTTTTGGATTTCATGTTTCAGTTTGTGTTCGAATGTTGTCAACAAGCTGTAAAAAAAAAAAAAAAAAAAAAAGGAAGGTCAGGAGCCAGTAACTGGAGGATTAGTGGTTAAGTGAGGTTACTTAAGGTTTAGCTTCAGATTTTCCGTATCACAAACTTTGTTTACTTTTTAGCAGGTTCTGTCATTGTGAGGATTTACCCTGGAAACCTAACCTTACCCTGAGACGGTTTCCAGACTGGGGATCAGTACAAGTAAAGAATATGCATATGTATATTTTTTTTCTATATCTTTGCCAGAATCTGTCCAACTAAGGGCCGAATAGCTAACTAACTAAACTCATGAGCATCTTATTAAAGATGTCTGCCAAAAGTAGTTAATGTAGTTTAAAACAAGGAGTGGTAACTTGTTAGTCCCATAAGTCTTTTTGATTTGGAAATAATTAATGACTTTATAAGTAACAACAAAAAAACAATTCCCAATATGTTAAATACGTGTGTTATTTACAGGGGTTGGACAATGAAACTGAAACACCTGGTTTTGGACCACAATACTTTATTAGTATGGTGTAGGGCCTCCTTTTGCGGCCAATACAGCATCAATTGGTCTTGGGAATGACATATACAAGTCCTGCACAGTGGTCAGAGGGATTTTAAGCCATTCTTCTTGCAGGATAGTGGCCAGGTCACGACGTGATGCTGGTGGAGGAAAACGTTTCCTGACTCGCTCCTCCAAAACACCCCAAAGTGGCTCAATAATATTGAGATCTGGTGACTCTGCAGGCCATGGGAGATGTTCAACTTCACTTTCATGTTCATCAAACCAATCTTTCACCAGTCTTGCTGTGTGTATTGGTGCATTGTCATCCTGATACACGGCACTTCCTTCAGGATACAGTGTTTGAATCATTGGATGCACATGGTCCCCCAGAATGGTTCGCTAGTCCTTGGCAGTGACACGCCCATCTAGCACAAGTATGGGGCCAAGGGAATTCCATGAGATGGCAGCCCAAACCATCACTGAGCCACCCCCATGCTTCACTCTGGGCATGCAACAGTCTGGGTGGTGCACTTCTTTGGGGCTTCTCCACACCGTAACTCTCCCGGATGTGGGGAAAACAGTAAAGGCGGACTCATCAGAGAACAATACATGGTTCACATTGTCCACATCCTAAGATTTGCGCTCCTTGCACCATTGAAACCGACGTTTGGCATTGGCACGAGTGACCAAAGGTTTGGCTATAGCAGCGCGGCCGTGTATATTGACCCTGTGGAGCTCCCGACGGACAGTTTTGGTGGAAACAGGAGAGTTGAGGTGCACATTTAAGTCTGCCGTGATTTGGGAAGCCGTGGTTTTATGTTTTTGGCATACAATCCGGGTTAGCACCCGAACATCCCTTTCAGACAGCTTCCTCTTGCGTCCACCGTTAATCCTGTTGGATGTGATTCGTCCTTCTTGGTGGTATGCTGACATTACCCTGGATACCGTGGCTCTTGATACATCACAAAGACTTGCTGTCTTGGTCACAGATGCGCCAGCAAGACACGCACCAACAATTGGTCCTCTTTTGAACTCTGGTATGTCAGCCATAATGTTGTGTGCATTACAAAATTTTGAGCAAAACTGTGTTCTTACCCTGCTAATTGGACCTTCACAGTCTGTTCTTATTGGTTCAATGTGCAATTAATGAAGATTGGCCACCAGGCTGGTCAAATTTAGCCATGAAACCTCCCACACTAAAATGAGAGGTGTTTCAGTTTCATTGTCCAACCCCTGTATATAATGTCTTGTGTATGAAGATTTGCGATTTTGTGGACAACATGATGTTGGATTGCAAAATGCATACACAAAAACCTGACTGTTTTTAATTGCTTTCAATTTGGTCTTTTCGGTTGCAAAAAGCATTTTAAAAAATGCTTATCCGGCAGAATAAGACTTAAACTCTGTTCGATATGTTAAGAATATATTTGAATCAGTGGCAGTTCTTCGAGAGGGGCCACCAAGGGCTGGTGCGCCCCATAAAACTGAAATTGGACCCCCTCTACAAATTAATACCAGAGGCAAACGATAAGAATTACCACTGAGATTTAAGGTAAGCAAAGCTATGTTATTTGTGTAACAGGAAATGTTGATGACTACCTTTAATTATTAGAATGACCATAGAGACTTACGTTAATCTTTGATTTATGTTATTTTCTTTATATTATGGTTTCCTGATATGTTTTCTATTCCTCTCCATTGCTTTTTTTTTGTGAACACTTCAAAATGAGGGAAAAAAAATACAATATGTCCTGTTCTGCTTTTCAGTCCTTTAGAATCATATATGATGATCAATTTTGGTAACAACTGCCAATTTGACTAGTTTTACATTGGCGTGCCAGTTATTCAAAACAAATTGGTTGACTGACCAGATTGATAAATCACTGTCAACCTTAAAATCTCCATTGCTAAAGATACCCTGGGTATCTTAATCAAGCTTTGTTTTACAAGCCCCAGGTTTTCTAAGTACAGCAGTTCCAACTGGTAACCTCTAGGTCGCACACAAGATTCAACATAATCTTCATTGGGCTGAGCCGGTTCATTACACACAGGACACAGACTCCTGGGAATTTACCAAGCATGCTGAATCAAAGACTCAAATCTTATTAAATATTATTACATGCTTATTATTTTACTAGTATTCTAATGTGTAAGCAGCATGTTACATCTGGTTCCACATGAGATTAATCGATAAAGTGTATCAGATACAATACATATTTAGATATAAACAGTCTTCACACATGTTTTTTGATGAATACTTTATTTAATACGCTTTTACAAAGTTAAGAAAAATAAATTAATTTACAGCAACTGACAATTGCTGAATGTGCCAACTGGCTCACGTGGTTAGTTGCATCATCCAATCACTACATATGATTCCAAGGTTATGTAAGCATTAAGATCTTTTTACAATGCTGAGTAAACAAATTCACCCTGCAGCATTATATAAGTGTAATTATAAGATTTACATGCTTGGGTCTTTGACCCAATTATTTTTTGGTTGTTTGATGGTGTTATTTCTCATCATGCGCTACCTCTTAAGCTTATTTTGTAACGGACCACCTTATATAAGACATCGGGCATTCCCTTGATCTATTTGGGGTAATCCAAATGACTATTAACTTAGCTACAGGTGACAGGAGCCCAAGGTGTTGGTATTTGCTCTTTGATTATCCGAAACAGCCTGTCTACTTTGCCATTCCATCAAAACAGTCACTTATGCCTACAGTTAATTTAATAATAATTTGATAAAAGGAACTCTTTTGTCTGTGGAAGGTAAATGGGTGAACTTTCAGTATAGTTGCACCAGGTTTTTTTGTTTATTTTATTATTTTTTTCAACCTCAGAGACATTTTGAAAGGCCCATTTGTCCGATTCTATTGGCCTTAGCGGGCCTAGTTGTTGGCAATCTTCTCATTAAAGTCAAGCAATTCAGCTTGGGTTTGGAAAGTAAAATCTGGATAAAGCAAATCACTTTGGGAATAATTTCTCTTCAACAAAAAATGGCATATTGCACACCAAAAACTGGGCTTTGCAAATGGACAGTTACCCAAACAATAGCAGCTAAAAATGTGACAAAAATTATCAGATGGCCCCGTCAAGTCCAGATATTATCTCGGCTTAAATGGGAATAAGTTTGATATAACTATGCATATACAAATTCCCATAAATCTAAATTTACTAGGAAAATGTTTCAAAAAGAGGGGGCAAAAATCAAACACACAGTGACTTGCAAGACAGGGAAAGATTATTTAAATCTGCTTTCTAAATGTATAACTTAGGTTAGTTTATACTGTACTCGAGTACTACACTAACGGACATCTACAGATTACATTTCAAAGGTAAAGAGTTTACTGACTTGGTAACGGTGGAATGTGTCACGATTAAATTAAAAGGAACTTCTACTAAACACTAAACAGAATTGGTCATGACTCATGTCAATGAGTGATTTGAATCAATGATCCACTTGCTTTGAGCACACCTTGGGAATCTTATCAGACCATGCATTTATTATAAGATTAGGTGAGGCGGTATTTATGGCAAAAAGCAGAAGGGAAAGTTTACAGTGAAAGGTTGGAGAGCTAAATATTACCACTGAGCCGACATCTCATTTCTCATTGTGGGAGGTTTTTTTTGGTTATATCAGCAGAACAATTACAGCTCTCATTCTGCATGACACATTAATGCTCTCAAATGGCTTGCCTTTAGTCTAGGTTTTGTCTAGTTAACGCTTTGTGAAGACTTCCAATCTTGCTAAAAGTAACTATTCAACAGAATATGACTAAAGCTGCAACTGATACAGCAGTTACAGCTTAATGCCGACATTTCTAGAAAATCGGTGTCACAGATTTTGAGAATATTGACTATGTTAGAGAGTGAAAATTATAAATTAAGAAAACAGAAAGAACTGCAGCTGCCCTCTTTTGGAAGAAAACAGAGGGAGTAACTTAAAGAAATAAACATAAAGCGGAACAATTCCCAGATAACAATATAGATTTATTTTTTTTGTGACAGAGATTGACGGTTGAAACAGTAGAAGAAAAAGACTGGCAGCACTAGTTATTCTCAAATTTTAATATGCAAATGTGACAAACTTTTTTAAACAAAAACGGTTTATTTTCTTCCAACATTGTCTCCTGATTGTAACCTTACAGTCAAAAAAGACGCCTAAAATAGAAGAAAATTATAAAAACCTCTTGAACCAGTTTCAATGACAACATAATGAACCGGTCCAGTTTTTCATATTCTCTCTCTCCATTTGCAAAAACCAGTAAACAAATCCTCATCTTCAGACTCTGACGCTGCATAAAATGATACAAGCGTGTTTTCATGTATCCAACAGGTCTAGACTGCTAGAGTTTTGCAATTTGATTAAGGATTCCTTTTTAATTTCATGCACAGACTGTAAACATGACCGGACAGATTCATCATATCACCGTGTCTGTGGGCCATATGTCACTGCTGCGTGGCACATTGTGTGGCAGGTGACAAGAGCACCTGATGCAGATTACTCCATAAGCCTGTTAAAGGTTACCGCTGAAATCCACTGTTTAGTTAAAGCTGCATTGTACTGTCGGGGCAACATACTGACAGGCTTCATATATACTAAAAATGTCTTTATTTTTCAAATTAGTGTGATAACTTGCTACTGAAGCTGATGTTTAATTTCCTTATGTGTCTGATTATAGGAACTGACATTTTTAAACGTTATTTGGTGCTATACATTTTATGTTTGCAGGTTTTGTCAGTCAACATGGCAACTGCTTTTACACAGTTAACTTCAACAAAAAGTCTCACCTTTGACCTATTGAAATATTACTGCTCTTATTCTCCTGTAAATTTATTCTGATTAAACAGTAATCATTCAGACATTTTAATATCTTAACAAGTCAAACATTTGTAGATTACATGCAAAATTTGACATGTTTTCATTTTTAACTGTCTTCAAAACTTAAATTTCATATATAAGTGAAGTTATCTGAATAAATAATATTCGACATCAGTGTATAACTCCAATTCTGAAAAGTACAGACAATTTATTTTACAGGGTCTAGAAGTATTTTAATCTAAGTTACAATGACAATATCTAACAATGAAAAAAAAAATATTTGAACTTTGCTCATCTCTATTTCTGAATATGCTGATAGCATTCTCACTCATTTGAAGCCAACTGCATTTACAGATTTTAGTTACCTTTGACCTGTAATGGTGACATCTGCCATCTGTCCCCTCCAGAAGAGGATGCAGCATCCATGTCAAACTCATTCCTAAAGTTGGCAAGATAATAAGACAACAGAATCTGTCCACATTTGAGTCGGCGAGGGACACGTGCTCATGGTACTGTTCCACATTTTGAAGTGAGGCTGCAACCATACAGGACACACTGCATTGAAAAGAAGCTTAGCGTCAATTATGTGTGTCTGTTCTATGTTACGGTTTACATGCTTATGAATGTTTTCCAATAAGTTGTTCTCAATCACATTTGCCCCTTACCCAATTCCCTTAACCCTGTAATGCCAAACGTATCATATTTGATACATACGGTTTCTGAAATGTTTTGCGTCTCACACCTTTTGCATAATTTAATGGTAAAAACTTTGCTTAAAATCCTAATTTACACAATTAGATACACCTGATAACAGGGGGCAGAAGACTACACGAAAAATAATCTTGACTCATCGCATAGTAATAAATTATTAATGTTGAAAAATTATTTTTGTTTTTTCTTTTTACATATTTTGTTAAAAGGCCAAATAAGGAATTCAAACAAAAAAAAGGGGAATTTTCTGTTTTGTTTTATTCTTGGATCAGGCTTTAAAGGGTCTCAGGAAGCCCTCCACTGTAAATAAAAAATTGCTCTTAATCACTTGTCTTGTGTTTACTTTTACTCAACTTTTACTTTGTTTTGTGAAATGTTTTTTTTTTAACATAAATGTATTTTCCTCAATGTAATTTTGTCTCAAGCTTTCTAAAAAATGAAAAATTAAAAGATAATGTACTTCTATTGGCTCAAAAAAGCAGCCCCCAGTGTGCGTGTTAATGTGTGTGTTCCTGCGTTTGTAGAAAAATATCCCCCCTCCCCAGAAATCTGTGTGAAACGAGGCTGTGCCTGTGGACACACACCTGTGGACACACACCTGTGGACGCGCACATGAATGACTCTGGCTGAATGGATGAACCTGTGGGATGGCCC